GTGGTCCCGGGGCTCACTCCCCCAGTCAACCTTGCCCTTCAACTTGGAGAACAGAAAAGGGGCACAGAGGTCATGTGACCACCCGGGGCAAGCACAGTTTCCCAGGAGCGTGCCTGGCTCACGTCCCTGTGCCTCCACTTCTGCCCCAGTTTCCCAGTTTTTGTGCACCAGATGACACCCAGGGACTTGGGTCCTGGTCACTCACGCGGGCGCCTCAGTCCAGCCCTGCAGTATTTGTAGCAAACCAAAACAAGGAAGATCTCTTGGTCTTTCCAATAAAAAATTCAAACTGTAATTTTTTTTAATTCCTAGGAACTGGTAGACTTTTTCCCTCAGCTCTCTGAGAGCTGTAGGAGAAGGCTTTCTGGAACAACTGTTGCATCTCTGGGATCTACGGGATTTGGGAAAAACCAAACAACTTCCTGAGGGAAGACGTGCTGGCCGCAGGCAGGGGCTGAGGACGCCAGGTCTCCAGGCACCTAGATCTGCACAAGGTCCACATCAACCACTTTAAAGCCGCGATCCCACCAGCCCCCCTTGAGGCAACAGGTGTGGTGTGCGCCTTAAGGGGAGCACGCAGGCTGTGCCACGGCTACACAGCAGAGGCAGAAGCCTAGCCCTGCCTCCAAAGTTCATGCCCCATCCCGGGAGCCAGGCATGCAGGATGAACCCACGCACCATCTCTCCAGGCTGTTCAGGAGCCGCAAAGCCAAGCATTCTACAGCTTTGCTAAGGGACATCCAGAACAAAGTGCCAGTTCATGTCCCAGCAGCCCCGCTTCCCATCCAGCTCCCTGCTGTAGCCTGGGAAAGCAGTCAAGAACAGCCCAAAGCCTTGGGATTCTGCATCCCGTGGGAGACCTGAAAGAGGCTCTGGGCTGCTGGTTTCAGATTGGCTCAGCTCCAGCGGTTGTGGCCTCATGGGGAGTGAATCAATGGAACTTCCTCTGTCTCTCCTCTCTCTGACTTTCAAATAAAATAAATCTTTAAAAAAAAAGAATTCTCACCTTCTATTTTCTTCACTTTGTTTCTGATCTTAATAGCTGGGAGTAGGTGACCAAACAATAATAACCTTTCATTGTAGCATTGTTCTCTGGTTCACAAGCTGCATCTTGAAGCCAAGAGGAAGTGACAGGGCCAGCTGTTAAGACCTCAGGCTTGGAAATCAGAAATATGCAGATGCTTGCTAACAAGGAGTGATAAGGCCTAGGCAATGTTAACAATGCTACAGCACTCACTGTGTGCCAGGCACCATTTGTTTTGTTTTAAGACTTACTTTGGGGCCCGGTGTGGTGGCGCAAGTGGTTAAGTCCTTGCCTTGCACGCCCGGGATCCCATATGGGCGCCGGTTCTAATCCCAGCAGCCCCGCTTCCCTTCCAGCTTCCTGCCTGTGGCCTGGGAAAGCAGTCGAGGACGGCCCAAAGCCTTGGGACCCTGCACCCGCATGGGAGACCCGGAAGAGGCTCCTGGCTTCGGATTGGCATAGCATCGGCCACTGCGCTCACTTGGGGAGTGAATCATCAGATGGAAAATCTTCCTCTCTGTATATCCGTCTTTCCAATAAAATATAATAAAAATAAATCTTTAAAAAAAAAAAAGACTTACTTTGTTTTTACTGCAAAGTCAGATATACAGAGAGGAGAGACAGAGAGAAAGATCTTGCATCCACTGATTCACTTCTTAAGTGGGCGGGTGCTGAGCTAATCTGAAACCAGGAGCCTGAAGCTTCTTGTGGTTCTCCCTTGCAGGTGCAGGGTCCCAAGGCTTTGGGCCATCCTCGACTGCTTTCCCAGGCCACAAGCAGGGAGCTGGATGGGAAGTGGGGCTGCTGAGATTAGAACCAGCACCTGGATGCCAGTGCGTTCAAGGCGAACACTTTAGCTGCTAGGCTACCATGCTGGCCCTGCTATTACTACCTTACATTTCACATCAGAATCCTTGTTTGAATCCCCGCTCTCTGCTGTCATATGCCTTTCAAATAAATAAATAAATGTTAAGAACAAAGGGTAGAGATTTGAAGCTGGGCAGTCGGGTGGGAGTCCATGGTCCCACATGAGACACACTGCTACCGGATCTGCCCCACCGCACGGTGCCAAGCCATCAATGGCACATGGAAAGGTGCGTGTCAGCTGCCCTGGGTGGTGAGCAGCAGTAGCCCGGTTCCTGACTATCTACCGTCCCCAAGGCCTCCTGCGGTATAACGCACTGGAACACCGAGGAAGGGGTGGCTGTTGAGGCACAGAGGGCTAACGTGCCACTTGAAACTCCCACACCAGAGTGCTTGTTCAATCCCAACTCTTCCGTTTCCGATCCAGCGTCCTGCTAAGCGGCCTGAGAGGCAGCTAATGCTGGTCTAAGCACTTGGTTTTTTGCCACCTGCATGGGAATCCCAGATAAGAGTTCTTGGCTGCTAGTTTTACCTGGCCCAGTCCCAGCTGCTGTGGACATTTGGCAAAGTAACCACAGGTGGAAGATCTGTCTGTGTCACTGTGTCTTTCAGATCATGGAAGACAGTGGAAGATCCAAGCACTGACTTTCTGTTGCTTACCACCCTATCTGAAGCCAGCAGCGAGTGCTCCGGAAACACACGAGGCATGAAGGAATGAGCTAACTGCATGGGCGATGTTGTGCCAACGTGACTGCTACGGTGGCAGCCTTCATCTAGCTGAACATAGAAGAGGACGGCCCAAAGCGCTCTCGGACTGAAGTGTTAGCTGGTTACAGCTGCGTCAGCCAGGCTTCCAGTCGGTCCCGGAATGTTCATCTGAGCTGAACCAACTGACCAGGAGGGAGACTTGTGACTGTCCTTCTGCCCTAACTCCGGCCCTGAGCTCTTGGGCTCTTCATCCTTGCTCATCACTTTATAGCAACCCAGGTTCGTGGGACCCAGGTAGAACAGAAACGACACCCCAGCGAATTTTTCACTTCAAAAAATGAGATATCCTATCTCCAAAGCTTAGCAATTTAGGAAACCGTTTCGCTGACATCTCACATCATAGTGTCAGTTCTACTCCTGGCGGCCCCACTTCCCATCCAGCTCCCTGCCTGTGGCCTGGGAAAGCAGTTGACAGGATCCCTATGGGCACAGGCTCTAATCCCGGCTGTTCCACTTCCCATCCAGCTCCCTGCTGTGGCCTGGGAAAGCAGTCGAGGACGGCCCAAAGCCTTGGGACCCTGCACCCATGTGGGAGACCTGGAGGAAGTTCCTGGCTCCTGGCTCTGGATCGGAACAGCACCGGCCATTCCACGTACTAGGGGAGTGAATCAATGGATGGAAGATCTTCCACTCTATCTCTCCTCTTCTCTGTATATCTGACTTTATAATAAAAATAAAATAAATCTTTAAAAAAATTCTAAACTTTAAAAAAAAATCAGAAATAAATATTTTTTGAAAAACCTGCTTGACTCCATTCACTCACAGGACTTTTTCCACATCATTAACCCAGAGGGTCAAAGATCTGAGCAAATAATTCATACGAAGCTCTTGCCCCGACTCAGAATTTGAGAACAGAGGTTCCTTAATTTTACTTTGAACTACACAGTTCAAACGTGATGAAAAGTAACACGGGGTCGCCTGACAGTACAACTTCTTTATTCCACAACCCACACTGTGCTATTTTGATCCCAAGACCCACGAGGTGGATTGTGAAACTTTGGGAAGAAATGCCCACAGGCACTTGCTTCGTTTTTTATGAACAAAATATGCGTTTGGGCGTGGCCTTGCTGAATATCACCCCTGACTGGGGTTGTCGGGGTTAGGACTGGGCACAACATCTGGCAGAGGCAAGTCCCCTGGCCCGCCGGGACACCGCGCAGTGGTCAAGGTCAAAAGTGTGCCACCTCGAGATCCTTCCAGCTAGGATTTGAAAAAGCAACTGAATGCGAGCTCACAGCCTGCCTTCTGCATTCTCGCAACGTTAACACTCCCACCCGGGGCTCAGGAAGTCCAGCGTGGCGGGCGGAGAAAGAACAGAGGGGCAGCAGGGCCAGGGCCGAGGGCACGGCGCCCCCGGGACGCAGGTCGGGAGCTGCCACCTGCATCCCAGCGAAGGTTAACTCACTGCACTATCACAGAAATCCAATTACGGGAGGCGTGATGACACCTGCCTGGTGAAAAGGTGACAGTCCTCCGCTGTCAGTCTGTGTCCACCGCGGGCTGCACTGGTGCCGCGCCCCCTAGTCACCTTGCCCTAACCTTGAGAAGCGAAGGGACACCCTCTGCACGCGAGGACTGCTGTCCTCACCCCAGGGGACGAGGCGTCTCTACTTCTCACAGGGCTGCTCACCTGGACATCACGCCGCCGCTGACAGGGGGTTGTGAAGACCTGACAGCCGGGGACGCCTTGACCTAGGGCACTGGAGGAGCGGGCCCGCAATCCACACGGCTAAGCGGGAGAGCCAGCCCCAACACGCGCCCGCCTCGCCTGGCCTCGCCCACGCCTGCAGGCACAGTGCAGGCACCCCGCCCCTGGATACCCGGAGGGCCCTGAGCGCTCTCACCTGCAGCCGGGTCACCAGGAGGCTGTAGGGCGCCATTTTGTGCACTGACAAAGATGAGGTCGCGTGAAAGTGACGTGCCGCCGGGCCTCTTTAAAGACTACGGCCAGGGGGTGTGTCCTGAGCAGCGACGCGTCACGGTGGAGGCGGGGCCTTGCAAGGGGCGCCAAAGTTCTGCAAACGCCGTGGGCGGAGCTTCCGCCAGAGGAAACGAGATTTGCATCAAAACAGTTACAGATGTAGTAGCCAAAAAAATTAAAATAAAATACACGGAATCAAACACCTGGAATGAAACTGTTGTATTCGAGTAGGTTTAGGTTAACTCTGCCAATCAAATCCAAGGGAAATTTTTGTTGTTGTTTAAAGACCTTCATGCACCTACCAGGACCTGGCTTCCCGGCAACAATTAGAAACTCTCGCGAGAGCGGGAAAAGGCGAGCTGATGGACGCCTCCACGACCAATCACGGCAACCTGAAGGCGGGAACACTGGGAACTGAAGGCCAGCCGGAAGTCCCTGGCGTTTCCGGTGGCTAGCGGAGGACCAAGCCATGGCCAAGCATCACCCTGACTTGATCTTTTGCCGCAAGCAGGCTGGTGTCGGTGAGACGGCGCCTAGTGCTCGGCTGCCCAGCAGGGATTGGGGAACCGGGAGGAGGGTCTCGTGCTCCCCGCGTCGCGAGCACGGGGTCCCGGGGCAGCGCGTGGGTCTGGAGTGGACGGCCGAGGCGACACGGGCTGGGTGGGCAGCGGGCCCTGCTGACCAGGGAGGAGTGTGGTCTGTGTAGGAGAGGGCCCTGCTGGCCAGGGAGTGTGTCCAGGCCGGGTGGAAGTGGGCTCTGCTGGCCGGGGAGGAGTGTGGCCAGGTCCACAGTGGCCCGTGCTTGGTCGCTGCGGCTGTGCACCTGACGCCACGCGCAGCCCCAGGCTCCCCCGCCAGAGGAAGAACATCCGTGCTTTCTTCTCTTGCAGCCATCGGAAGACTGTGTGAGAAATGTGAGTGTCGCCTGCGCTCCCGGGCTCCTGGTCTCCTTGATCCTCCCGCTCTCCCCCACTCCGCCTTCTCTCCCTTTGGGTAGAGCTAGTGGATGGCCGTGAAGAGGCTTGGAGGAGATGCACCTGGAAGCGCGTGGACACTGGACATCAGTCTCCCACCGCATTTTTCCATCATTTAAAAGACTGTGTGGTTCAGTTTTGGAGGGGCAAGGCCAAGGTGACCCCCAGGCCTAAGCTTCCTGCTGGCAGCTGCTCTGTGCTCATTGACTGTTGGGGGGAGGTAGCAGGAGGCAGCCAGGTTGGTGCCTGCAGTGCCCACAGCTGTGCCATCTCCGCTCTGTCCCCGCAGGTGACGGCAAGTGTGTGATCTGTGACTCCTACGTGCGGCCCTGCACGCTGGTCCGGATCTGTGACGAGTGCAACTATGGCTCGTACCAGGGGCGCTGTGTGATCTGCGGAGGACCTGGCGTGTCAGACGCCTACTACTGCAAGGAGTGCACCATCCAGGAGAAGGACGTGAGTGTGTCCCCGGCCCGGCTCGGGCTCTCGTAGCGCCCGTGGCCTGTGTTGAGCCGCTGGGCAAGGCTGTCATTGCACATTGTTGGGCTACACTGGACGTATAGTCTACTGAAAGGCAGTCGTTTTGATTGGTGGCAGGGAGGCTGGAGAAGCAGAGCTTTGTCAGTACCGGCCGATCGGGAACGCTGTCCTGCTCTGCTGTGTCTGTGGCCACACACAGTGCAGCTCTTCGCTGTGCTGACCACTCAGCACTCAATTCCTGAGTCTGTGATGACTGTTGGGATGGTGGAAGTTGAGGCTGTTCCACTTGAGTTTTTTTAGCAATAGGACTTTTGTTTTTTTTTTTAAGAGAGATTTTCCATTTGCTGGTTTGCTTCCTCAAATGGCAGCAGTAACTGGGACCAAGTCAGACTGAAGCCAGAAACCTGGAACTCCACCTAGGTCTCCCACGTAGGCAGTCAGGACCCGAGCCGGTGGGCCACCCGGCGCTGCTGCACTGCCCAGGCCATTAGCAGGGAGCTGGGTCAGAACTGCGCATCTCACACTTGAACTGGAACCCCTGTAGAGTTGCCTGCAATGCCACCACACTGGCCCTCCACAGCACCTCTTCCTGCTGGTACATCTGGGCAGCAGCAGGTGGGACGGTGCTGTGGGGGAGCTGGAGGAAGAGTCTCGCTGCCTCTCCCCGTCACTGTGCCTTCCAAATAAACCTATCAATCTTGATGTGAAAGTATGATATAGTCCCACTAGCCTACTGGAAGCCAACATAGTACTTGGTCTGGGAAAAGGCACAAAAAATGTAATTCTTCCTAGTCCCATGTTCCCCATGGCAGTTTTGTTCCGTAGGAGTGGCTATTATTATTATTATTCTTTTTTTTAAATATTTATTTATTTTTATTATAAAGTCAGATATACAGAGAGGAGGAGAGATAGAGAGGAAGATCTTCTGTCCGATGATTCACTACCTAAGTGAGTGGGTGCCAATCTGAAGCTGGGAACCAGAAACTTCTTCCGGTCTCCCATGCGGGTGCAGGGTCCCAAAGCCTTGGGCCGTCCTCGACTGCTTTCCCAGGCCACAAGCAGGGAGCTGGAAGGGAAGCAGGGCTGCCGGGATAGAACCGGCGCCCATATGGGATCCCAGCGCGTTCAAGACGAGGACTTCACCCGCTAGGCCACACCACCAGGCCCTTATTTTTTTTCAAGATTTACTTTATTTTTATTGCTAAGTCAGATATACAGAGAGGAGGAGATGGAGACGAAGTTTTTCTGTCCGATGATTCACTGCCCAAGCGGCCACAACGGCTGGAGCTACACCAATCTGAAGCCGGGAGCCAGGAGCTCTTCTGGGTCTCCCACATGGGTGCAGGGTCCCAAGGCTTTGGGCTGTCCTTGACTGCTTTCCCAGGCCACAGGCAGGGAGCTGAATGGGAAGTGAAGCTGTTGGGATTAGAACCGGCACCCATATGGGATCCCGGCATGTGTAAGGCAAGGATTTTAGCCACTAGGCCATCGTGCCAGGCCCAGGAGTAGCTGTTATTATCGCCATTCCATACTCCCTGCCAGCGACTACATAGCAGGCCCAGGCTTTCTGTCCGGCACACCTGCTGGTGTCCCCATTTCACTGTGTCAGCCTTTCCCAAGTCCATGTCCAGTAGCCCTGTACACATCAGCAGTCCGTGTTTGGATCCTGTTTGGAAGGAAGATTTGCAACATCTTGGACCAGACACTGTCATCTCCGACATCATTACATCAATTATCCTTACGGAGATGGGAAGGTTGTCGTTAAGGTGTCACAGACACCCTTCGGTTGATCATTGGGACATTTTCCTGTTTGCATTTGCGTATGACTCACATTGTATCCTGCTTCCTGAAACTCAGGTGACATTCCCTCCCACTAGGTTCTATTCTCTTAGAGAAAGACTCTCAGCCTATGCTTCTGTCTCCTGTTCCCTGGGCCTTGGTGCAGTGCCTGATGGGTCGCAAAAGAGCAGTACACCAGCTGGTGCTGTCCCTGTGCGTTACCCATAGGTGTCCCCTGCAAGGTGATGGGTGCCTGGTGGGTGCGGGTGAGTGCAGCCTGTGAGCAGTGAAATTGGACCAGTGACTCCCCCAGCCACAGGCTACTGGAGAAGTGGGACTTCTGCAGGGCTGCAGCTGGCTTCTTGCCCAGCGTCAGGTTCCAGCTGGAGAGTACTCGAGAAACGCATTGCCATCCGACTCCTGGGCATCTCAGCACGTGACATGAGACCTGATACCTCGGGGTCCCGGAGGAGCCTGGTGTTGCTTGCCTTTCTTTACAATCTGCCGGAATGTTCTGGGCCATCTGAGAAGGGCCTGGCTCGCGCTTGGTTAGCATAGCATAGTTTCCAAGGAGCATGCGCCATCCAGTGACATGAGACAGTCTGCCTTCCAGATCATCATGATTAGACCCGGGGCTCTTCATAATTTATACGGTAATTAGGCTGCAAGCGAGGCTGGGTGCTCTCTTTTACTTTTACAAAGCCACCAGAGTAAGCAGCAGTCTTGAGTTAACAGCTGTGGACGTGGAGGCCAAGGGCCCTGTTTCCCATCCAGCTCCCTGCTTGTGGCCTGGGAAAGCAGTCGAGGACGGCCCAAAGCCTTGGGACCCTGCACCCGCGTGGGAGACCTGGAAGAGCTCCTGGCTTTGGATTGGTGCAGCAACAGCTGTTGTGGTCACTCGGGGAGTGAATCATCGGAGGGAAATTCTTTCTGTCTCTTCTCCTCTCTGTATATCTGACTTAGCAATAAAAATAAATAAATCTTTAAAAAAAAAAAAAACAGTGTCCATATGGGATCCCATTGTGTGTACAGCAAGGATTTCAGCTGCTAGGTTACTGCACCAGGCTCTAAAATATGATTTTACAATGCCTTGTAGCTGAACTCCGGTGTTCTGCTCCCTCCTCCAGCATTTAGCAGTCCTTCTGTCTGGCCTGTTGTTGACAGCAAGATAAAGTAAGGACTGGCAAGGCCCAGAAAGGTACGGAGCATCTGGCTTTGCCATAGTTTACGCCACTAGGGGACCCTTGTACCCAAATCAGTGTTTGAATTTTGATTTGAGTGTTGGCTTTAATCATTTAAGCTTTTCCCCAGAGATGTATTTATTTATTTGAAAGGCAAACAGATAGAAAGGTCTCTGTCGGCTGATTCACTCCCCAGATAGCCGTGCGTATGCCAGGCCAAAGCCAGGAGACCAGAGATTCCTCCAGTCTTCCCACCTGGGTGCAGGGGCCCAAGCCCCTGGGCCGTGCTCCACTGCTCGGCCAGGCACATCAGCAGGGAGCTCACTGGAACTGTCACAGCCAGGACTCACACTGGCACCTGAAGGGACCTCGATGACAAGTCACACCGGCTCACTTGCGTTCACCTGGGAACCTTTGTCAAGCCAGCGCTGTCCTAACTCCAGGCTCCGCGTGGCATGGCTAATGTGTCGGAAAGCAGAAGATGGCCCAGGTGGATTAAATGCATTAGTGAGGGTGCGTGGAGCACTGCACACCCCGATGGCATTTAAAATGTGAGGTGCAGGGCTTGAAGTGATGCTTCAGAAAGAAAAAGAAAAAAATCAGAGTCTACCAAAATGGTATCTTTAAAGGTTTATTTCTATTTGAAAGGCAGTTACCAAGAGAGCGGTTCTGTTCACTGGTTCATTCCCTATGTGACCACCACTAGAGCAAGGCCAATCAGGACGGACCCGTGCCATCTCCCTCCCTTTCCCAGGCACATTGGCAGGAAGCTCAGTTGGAGGTGGAGCAGAACGATCTCACCAGCAGCTCAGGGATGCCGGCACCGCAGTGGTAGCTTCATTTGCTTAGCCTCAGAGCTAGTTACCGTGGCGGTGTTTTTGTCTTGAATCTCTGTGTGTCCTTTTCTCCCTCTCAGATTTATTTATTTATATATTTATTTGAAAGGCAGAGGAAGAGAAAGGACTTCCAACTGACAATGAACTCCCCCAGGTATCCCAAGCAACCAAAGCCAGGTGCCAGGACCTCCTGCCGGTTCTCCCTTGGGGCGAGGTGGCCCCATCACCTGCACCTCCCAGGTGCACAGCAAAGGGCAGGGTTACGGGATGCAGGCGTCTCACTGCAGTATAACCAGCTGGACCACAGCACCAGCTCCCTGCAATCTCTTAGTTTGGACTTAGAAATCTAACCACTTCCTTTTGTTCTGTTTTCCAGAGAGATGGCTGCCCCAAGATTGTCAACTTGGGGAGCTCTAAAACAGATCTCTTCTATGAACGCAAAAAGTACGGCTTTAAGAAGAGGTGATTGGTGGGTGGCTCCTTCCTGCTCCCGCAAAGCTGCTGCCGCCACCAGGAAACCACAGGCTCCTGCAGCAGCAGGGAGCACCGCCCCAGCCCCCAGTGCTGCCTGCTGGGGTGCTGGCCCCTCGCCCCCTCCTCGCCCTCTCCTGGGGGCTGGGAGAGAGGGCGGGGCTCCTCCCAGCATCCTGGCAGGCTCTGTTCTCGCTGCTGCATTGCATCTGCAGCAGGAGCGTCTGCGTAGGCACTGTCCAGCACCCATGAGGTGGGGGCAGCCCTGCAGGCAGCTGTGCCGTGGACCCCCTCAGCAGTGGCCCAAGCTCTCAAAACAATGAATGTGGACGTTTGGGCTCGGGTGCCTGCCAGGTGGTGCTGGCTTCCTATTAGTTTTCTTGTGAGAAATTGGAAACCCTTCCCTTTGCTGTTATGTTAATAAAGTTGGTGTTTATTTTCCGGTACTCCGACACCTTTCCCCTTTAACTTCTATAAAATATAGGAAGAGGTCTCCCATCTGGGGGTTCACTTCCTGGATCCCTTTGAAGGGCGAGGCGGGGGCAAGGCTCCAGCTGGCCACCAGCTCCCGCCCGGATCGCCACTAGAGCCGTTACCATTGTCCGGGTACAAAGGCCAGAACCCGGACCTGTGTACAGATACCCAGAGCAGGTGCTCGACTATGGAACACGGTGTCCACCAACATCAGAACCGCAGGCTGGGTGCCTACCTCACCCTCCCACAAAATCTAGAGATTTCTTTTAGTCACCTAAGAATTTGTGACTTACAATGGAGGTGGGAGATAAGCCAGGTAAGCCATTGTGCCATCCGCAACTCAGCTCCTTGGTGTTTGTTCTTTGGGGGAAGGAGTAGCTCATCGCCTTGCACGTGCCAGGATCCCTTATGTGCACTGGTTCGTGTCCTGGCTACTCCGCTTTCCTTCCAGCTCCCTCTTAAAAATCACTTGAGGGCCTCTGAGGTATCCTAGTGACTAAAGTCCTTACCTTGCATGCGCTGGGATTCCATATGGACACTAACTTTTCTTCCTTTAAAGATTTTTTTAAAGGATTTATTTTTATTGCTAAGTCAGATAATACAGAAAGGAGAAGAGACAGAGGAAGATCTTCCATCTGATGATTCACTCCCCATGTGACTGCAAGGGCCGGTGCTGCACAAACCTGAAGCCAGGAGCCAGGAACTTCCTCCACGTCTCCCACATGGGTGCAGGGACCCAAGGCTTTGGGCCGTCCTCGACTGCTTTCCCAGGCCACAAGCAGGGAGCTGGATGGGAAGCGGAGAGAGCCTGTGCCCATATGGGATCCCGGCGTGTTCATGGTGAGGACTTTTAGCCACTAGGCTACTGTGCAGTCAAGGATGACCCAAAGCCTTGGGTTCCTGCACCTGTGTGGGAGACCTGGAAGCAGTTCCCGGCTCCTGGCTTCGGATTGGTGCAGCTCCGGCCATTGCTGTCACTTGGGATTGAATCATGGGACGGGAGATCTTTTATGTCTCTCCTCCTTTGTAATGAGAAAATAAATAAATAGAAAAATCTTGGGCTAGGATGGCGGAACTTCAGATTAATATTCAGCATGTGGTGCCAGCATTTCCTATAGCCATTGGTTTGAGTGTCTGCTCCACTTTTTTTTTTTCTCTAATGATTTTATTTTTGATGATTTTTACATAGTTGATTAGGGTCAAGGGCTACAGGAAGGAGGGTGAGATCACCATTTCCACACTCTTTTTTTTTTTTTCCTGTACCTGGAGGAGAGGGGGAGATAAGGGCAGAAGCTACACACAGCGTCCCAACAGCCTCTGTACCCTGCAATAGGGCACTGCCACCTGACATCTTCCCGGATTGCTGATGTGTAGCATGCTCCAAGGGTCCCAGTCAAATATTTTTCATAGTTCAACAATTCTGAATTGCTGTCAGTCTTACCATTCCAAGCACAATGAAATCCTTCCAGATTCCACTGGCTGACATAGTCCACCGTAGAGTCTCCATTTGCCCAGTTATTCACTGCCAGCTCTTGGCCAGGGTAGTTGACCAATTTATTTGTCCTCTGTAGTGGTACCAGGTGTCCTCTGCAGACTCCAGTGTACTTCCATGTCTTCCATGTGCACCTGGATATGCTGTCCACTGCTCCTTCTAAGCCACTGAGGAGGCCCAGCTCTGACACATGCACTGCACGTTTAGACCATGCAATCTGATACTCTCCATGGTTGGGGTTCTAAGTCCAGCAATTCAGTTAGGGGATTCACCAAGAAACTTCATCTGAAGTGATTCCAGACCTGATTCTTGTGTGTGCTTGCTAATACAGGTTCCAGCACAGTCCACTGGCCCAATCAACTTATGCACATGCTGGTAGTTGCACTTGGTCAGTTCTGTCTCCAGCCCTGCCTTTTACACAAACCAATAGGTGTTGCAACCCAGCTCAATCCTGCCCAATGCATGCTTGGTCTTCATGTACGCTAGTGGGAGCTGCAGCCTAGTCAGAGTGACCCGCAATAACACCACCAAGCCCACCCCCTGCCCTGGTTCCCATGCTTGCCAGTATATATGGTACACTGGTCCAGTGTGTACCACATCCCATTGAACTCTTATACATGTCAATGGACATTGAACCTAGTTCAACCCAACCAGTCCCACTATCCAGCCTACACAGTGCTAATGGGTGCCACTCTGACCAGTCATGCCTGCCCAGTCATGGTTCTCATGCTCACCAGTCAGAGTGGCAACCCAGGAGGGAGGTGCCACTATTTTCCTACTGGGTTCACTCCCACTACTGGATAATGCACTCTCCAAGTGGTACCACAGTTGAGCTCAACAGAGTTTCCCCCTGTGCCAGCATCTGCCAACTGATACTGCAGCAAAGCCCAACCAACCCACACTCTGATTTATGCATGCACCAGTAGAAACAGTCAACACAGCCTGGCTTTCCCCTGATCCAGCCCACATGAGGCCAACAGGTGTTGTAGCAGAGACCTAGCCTAGCCTGTTCTACACCTACCCTGGTTCTCATGAGCACCAGTGGGTACTGGAGTCTAGCCCAGTTTGATGTACCCCTGACCCAGTCCATATTTGTGCCAAGGGACACTGCAGCCATGCCCAGACTAGACAGCAGCCCAGTCTGGCCTTCGTACACACCAGTGGGAACCACAACCCAGCTGGGGTGTCCCCTTAACTCCCCAACCAGGCCTGTTCCAGACACAGATCTTGTGCATGCCAGTGGTTGCTCTGACCCTGCTTGGCATAGACCCTCACCTGTCTTGGCCTTTGCCTTGAAATGCTGTAACCTGGCCTGACCCAGCCTGCCCCCAGTCCCAACTCTCACTGGCAGGTGCTGGAAACTGGCCCTGCTCAGTCCGCTTCCATCCCTAATTCATGAAAACTGTTAGGTGTGACAGCCTAGCCCAGTATGATCTACACTCCAGCCTGGTTTCTGCACTTACCAGTGAACAGGTTTGCTCAGCTCTGCCTGGTCTGCCCCCTTCCAAAAATAACCCACACATTAACCAACAGTTGGAGCTACCTTGCCCACTGGCTACTCCACTTCTGATCCAGCTCCCTGCTAATGACCTGGGAAGCAGCAGAGGATGGCCCAAGGGTATAGAGCCATTTTATACCCTGGTTCATTCCCTAAATACTTGCTTTTGATAATATAAAGATTTATGTAAATATGTATGTGTGCGTTTATTTGCAAGAGTGACAAAGAGGGAAAGAGATTCCTCATCTGTCAGTTCACGCCCCACATGGCCACGGGGGCACATGGAAGTCAGGAGCCCAGAATCCCACGTAGATGTGCCACGTGGCTGTCACCTGCTGCCTCCCAGGCCATGACCAGCGAGCTCCATCAGATAGGGGATGCAGGCGGAGCCTGTTGTGTCACAACACCTGCCCCAGCACACTGCAATTTAATCTACTTTCAACATGGTCCTTATCATGCATGCTGTTGCACCCCTCCAGAAATAATTGTGATGAGAAATGTGTGGGCTTGCTGATGAGGCCTGTGCCTGAATCTGGCTCCCATCTTGACCTTGGTCACTCATCTGGCCTCTCTGTGTTTCAGAATAATGATACTCACCTGTATCTGAAGTGCGCCTTGCCTTGTACTCGGGGAGTGCCTGACCTCACTTTTACAATTGGTCCCCACTTCATAGATGCACTAAAGCCCTGGCACAGACAGGTCTTCCCAGGATTCCCCTCACCACAACCCCGGGCTCCCCACCTTGCCTCCCTGCTGTGTTCCTCTGAGAGGACCTTGCTGGCACACTCCTTCCTGCTCCGTCCTAGACCAGCTGCCGCTTTGGTTTGCAACACCGCCTTCCATCCCACCCACCCCTACCCCCTCTGGCATTACTTTGTGTCTCGTTTGATTCAGCCTGGCCCAGCTGGAGCTGTGGTAGCCATTGTGGGAGCTGGATAAAAGTAAAACCAAATTGGCAAACAATGAACTTGATCATCAGAGCCTTGGGTGCCCTTTGCCTGTCCCTTCAGGGTGGGGCATACCCAACAGCCACCTCATGAGGCTGAAGGGAGCTCAGCTGTTAGGATTCCAGGTGACAGGGATGATTGAAAAGGAAGGGGCGTGCAAAGACCAGGCCCAGGAAGATGAGCAGTGGTGGGTGACCCTCACAGGACTGGGAGTGCTGGGGACCCAGAGGGACACTACAGCCTCAGCTCTGTCTACAGGAGACAGTGGCTGTTCAACTTCAGACAACTTCTCTCAGTTTGGGTGTCCAGGATGCGGGACATTTTGGGTTTCGAACAGGTGGAAACTTAAAGATTTTTGGTGTGATATCTTCATTTTTTAAAGACATATTTATTTTTCAAAAAGGTCTTCCATCTTCAGGTCTCCCCAAATGGCCAGAGCTGTGAGCCTCCTCTAGATCTCCCACGCGGGTGCAGGGTCCCAAGGCTTTAGGCAATCCTCTACTGCTTTCCCAGGCCACAAGTAGGGAGTTGGATGCAAAGCAGAGCAACTGGGGCATGAACTGGTACCCATATGAGATCCAGTGCTTAAAGGTGAAGGATCAGCCTGTTAGGACACAGCATCAACCCAGGGAGATCCCTACTTTTTTTTTTTTTTTAAGATTTATTCATTTGCTTTTATTGGAAAGTCAGATATACAGAGAGGAGGAGAGACAGAGAGGAAGATCTTCCATCTGATGACTCTTGAACCTAAGCAACTGCAACAGTCAGAGCTGAGCTGATCCAAAACCTGGAGCCAGGAACTTATTCTGGATCTCCCACACAGGCGCAGGATCCCAAGGCTTTGGCCATCTTCTACTGCCTTCCCAGGCCACAAGCAGGGAGCCGGACTAGAACCTGCGCCCATATGGAATCCCAGTATGTGCTGGGTGAGAACTTTAGCCACTAGGCTATTGCGCTGGGCCCAGAGAGCCTCATTTTTAAGTAACAGCAACTCTTTTGTATATTTCAGTGTAAGTCAAGCAGCTCCATCCACCAAATGAGGACCTTGACCTGCCTTGGTCTGTTAGCTGGTTCTAAATTCAGGAAATTAATTTCCCAGAGAATTAATTCTAAGTTGAGTTTCAGAGCAGCTCTGTGTGCCTCTGTTCTGACCTGTAGCCTTTTACAAGTAATTTGAAGTCAGGACATTAAACTTCAGAGGTTCTTAGTCTTGGCTGTACATTCCCTGCCATTTATAAAAAGGCCTCTCCTTCCTCCCGGCTTTTCTCAGGTGTTGGTGCCTCTTCAACTCTGTCTCCCCAGGAGCTGTGCTCCCTGCAAGGCTACAATGTTACTTTCTTTAGATACTGCCTTTCAAGCTCTTCCCCAAACACAGGCTGACCCTGCGGGCTATAATTCAGTATTGGTGGAGAAGCAAAAGCCACCCCCACCGCCTTCAGCTGCCAGACTCTCCTCCCCAGAGCCATGGTGGCTGGTTCTGCTCCTTCCCAGCAACAACAGTGAGCTAAACAATCAAGAAACTGATGGGGCTGGCTCCGTGGCATAGCAGGGTTAGGTTGCTGCCTGTGACACCAGCATGGCATACAGGAGCCAATTGCAATACTGGCTGCTCCACTTGCGATCCAGCTCCCTCAAGGTGCTGCTGTGAAGAGCTTGGGCCCCTGCACCCACACTGGAGACACGCAAGCTCCTGGCTTCTGGTTTCAGAACAACACAGCTGTGGCCACGTGGGCAGTTAACCAGTAGATGGAAGAACTGTCTCTTTCTCTGTAACTCTGCCTTTTAAATAAATAAATAAATATTTATGTATTTTATGGATAACTTTAAAGATAGAAAACAAAATTCGTGTGTATCAGGTGATGTATCCCTGAGAGTTAATTGGGGCCAATTAGGTCCAGCCCCACTTACCACCTCACAGAAGCATCTGGTGTAACTGGCTCCCTCCCTCCCTCTCCCAGGGGCACAGACTGGCACCTGATGCTCGCCACTCAGAGTACAAGGTGTCTACCTTTCAACATATGATTGTCCAAAGCAGGAGGAAACTCAGGGATGCCTGGGTGGGAGGGCAGCTGACAACCCAGCCCCGAGATGAAGTCAACGCTGTGAGCCTCCTGCCATTCCTAAGAAGGGCGTTCGTTTGATGACTCTCCTCCCCTCCCTTCTGATCTTTTTCCCACTCTCGAAGCAGAGCCCCAGGCTGCCAAGGAGGTTGGGTTTTTTGTCTTTACAATATTCCTCAGCGCTGGTGTTTTCCCGGTAAGGTCTAGGTACACAGGCAGACACAGCCCTCCTTCCTCCCAGGAGGGTGTGCGCCATCACTCCAGGCCCTGCACTCCGGTACCCCACGCCTCCCTCCTGAGCCACCTGGGACAGCCGGGCACAGTTCAGCCTCGCCCTATACCCTGCTTTCCCAACTAAGAAACGCACCCTCGACCAGGAGTTATGAGGAAAGCTAAGAATAGCACATTGTCTGGGCCAGGCTTTGCAGGGTCATATTCGAGCCCCGACGCGGTCTCTGTGTGGGACATGGGGACACTGACGTTTGCGGGGGGCGGGGTGCAAAAGGATCGGTAGCCTGCAGTGAAACTACACGGTAGGAGGCACGACTGGGACGTGAGCCTTTCGGCTTCCACCGACGACTACAAGCACCGGCAACCCTTGCCATGCCCCACTGCGCAGACGCACGCTCCAGGGTGCTCCGTCCGCGCGGTGGGGACCCAAAGCCCAATCAGACGCTGCCCCTCCCCGCGCTCCGGCCAATGGGAAGGCTGTTGCTAACAGGCAGGGTGTATTTTTAGCTTACGGCGCTGGGGGACCCTGGGGTGTTGGGCCGAGCCTCCCCTCTGGGGTGTGTGTGGTGGGGGGAGTGGAGCGGGGCGTGTGTGTGACGCGCTGCCACTCGCTGACGCACGAGGCAAGTAGTCCCTGGAGGTGCCGTGGGGCTGGGACGCGGGGTGTGGGGGAAGGGGAACGCTCCGGCTGCGGAGGAGTGGACCCAGCAACCCCGGCGTTGGTGTCAGCGCATGGACGTGGTCACGCTCCCGTCCGCGCGCCCCCATTCCTTCCCCCCCGCAAAAAAAGCAACCGAAAAAGTGCAAACTGATCTTAGCTGGAAACTTTCGAGTCTCGCCACCCCAAGTGGGTTGCGCGACTGCTGCGGGACTGGAACTATCAGAAAAGACGGCGGAAAGGACAGGTGGAGCCCTGGAGGAGGGAGCGAGGGAGAAGGTTCCACGCATAAAAAGCCTCCCGGGGTCCAGGGCCTCGCCATCTGGCAGGACAGCCCCCGCCTGTGACCTCACCCTGGCACAGTGCCCCGTACCCCAACCTCGCACCCGCACAGTCACAAAGAGGTTGTGCGTGACCAGAACCTAGGCGTGGCGCCCAGTTCAGGGTTCGGGGCCGCCCGAGAGGCCCTCGCACAGTCAGGCGCCACCCGCAGCGATCGGGCTGTCACGTGAATAAATGTGTCTCTGGCTTGTGCCTCTAAAATGGGGGAGCCGGCAGAGGGGCCGGGGCGCGTGGAAGGAGGATCGAGGAGCACTGCCCAGGTCTCTCCAGCTCTAAGCACCCCCAGCCCCGTAGTGACCTCCCTGCACCACCGTCCTCCTTTCAACCTTCCCCGCTCCCCAACACATACACCCCGGCAACTCCGAACTCAGATCCAAGAGACCTTTCCAGAGTTCGTGGCTCCTCCACCCGCCGCGAGAGACCGAAACTGGGCGGCGCGAGCGCCTCGGGGCCACTCGGCCTGTGCCAGCTGTCCTAGGGCGGACTGGAGCACGGTCAGCAGGTGCAGCGGCAGGTGCGGGGCTGCAGCTTGCACGGGGCGTCCGTCCGCCCCCCTCCCTGCGATGTCCATCTCTCTAACCCGCCGAGGGGTGCCAGTCGTGCCCTGTCTACCTGGACAGACGCTGTGCACGCCAAGCATGCGTGGTGAGGGGCTCTGCGCCGTGACAGGCCAGGCCTAGGGTGCGCGTGTGGGGGCCAGGCCGGCGCGGGGACGGGGTCGGGGTCAGCGCCCGTGCCCACGCCCCCGTGTCCACGCCGAGCCGCCCACGCGCGCCTCGCACGCGGGGTGGGCGAGGAAGTAGTCCCGGCCTGGCGCCGGGCCCCGCCCCGCAGGACGGAGGGACGCAGCACGCAGGGGTGGGGAAGCCGGATCCGTGCGCGGGGTTGCTAAGGGTGAAACTTTTCATTGACTTTGCTCACTTCGGGCCGGGGCGCGGGAAGGTGCGGCTCGTCGGCTGAGACCAGCCCAGCGGCTCGGGTGACGCGCGGGGCCGGAAGGGCAGGACCGCGCGTCGGCCACCTCCCGGAGCCGTCCTCCTCCGTCCCTCCCGCGCCTTCGCTGCCGCCGGCCGGCCCTCCGTCCCTCCTCCCCGCGCCACCGCCGAGCCCGACCCCCAAGGAAAGCTCAAAGAATTATTATTAACAATCTTAGTCCTCCCCACACACACTTCCTCCTTCGCCTCGTCCCCCGCCGCCCGCCCCGCAAAAAAAAAAAAAAAAAAAAGAACCGCAACGACGATAAGGACAAGGACACATCTGCTCCCGGACCCAGCGGACACTCAGGAAGGACCGCCGCCCCGCGCTCAGGACCACCCTGGAGGGAGCGGCCGCCCCGCTGCCGGCGAAGCCCGAGTGAGTGAGGGAGTGGGTGGGGGGCGTGCGGGACCCCAATCTGCCCAGCTGGGCGCCCCACGTTGCCGTCGGCCCCTGCCCGGCTTGGCCAGGACCCCCACCCCAGGCGCCTGTGCTCCCCTCAGCCTCACACCGGCTCCCACCCTCGGGTCCCTGAGAGCTGCCTCCTCTCCCACTTCAGTGGAGGCCCCTGGGGAATGGGGGCGCGTTTCCTCACTTCCCCAGCATCTCCCCAGCTCTTTTCTCCCATCTTCCGGAGTGCCACCTGCCGTTCCCTACAGAAGAGGAGGGAGGGGGATGCAGGCCTTGCTGTGTTCCCGGGTCCGAGGGTGCTGAATGGGGCACCCATGGCACTGAGGGGACGGACAGCCGCCTCTGGCCGCTGGGGCTGCCAGTTGGGCCACCGGAACCAGAATCCACCCTTGAAGCGTGAGGTCTTTCAGTATAGCAAAGAGAAACTGGGTGGGGGTACCCCAAAGGCAGACAAGGCCCTACGCCCCAACTCCAGGGCAGGGATGGTGCCCTTGACGGAAACTCTGGGGAGCCGCAAGCCAGGAGGGTCAGCCCCGGGAGCGCACCCCTGGGCCCTTGAACCCCTACGTGGGGACGCCCAGTTGGAAACCACCTCCTGCCTACCCCGCGCCCCTCTCCTCGGCGCTGGGGAACGCGTGGGAGGAAGAGGAGGGAGCGTTAGCCTGTTGGGGGGCTGGCCTGCAGTGGGGGGCTGGCACCCAGAGCCCCTTCGGTTTCAGAGACCCGATTAGGAGTGAAGGGCGGCTTGGGCCTCTCTGTGCCCAGGGGAAGAGGGGAGAGCCCGGCGTGACTCCGCCCGCCTGGCAGAGGGGTTCCTGGAGGCCAGTCCGCTAGGCCTCAAGTCAGAAGGGCTCTCTGAATCCACCATCCTCCCCGTCACCTCAGAGAGACCCTCCTTCCCAGCCCCCAGCCCTTGAAAGGCAGATTAAGGGGCCGGGCTCACACCTCTTCATCCAGGAAAAAGAAAAAAAAAGCAGACCCCTGATTCGGCAGTATAGGGAAAAGGGGAAAAGTTCAGCCTCTCACAGCCCAGACATGAACATGGTGGTAGAGACGGGGAGGAGACCGGGTGGGTAGGATTTATAGGAAATTAGGCGATGGGGGGTGGGGGGGGAGGCCCATCGGCCACAGTGCGCATGTGCATCGGAAACTTTTCCGCGGCTACCCAACGCTCCAGCCAGATTTCTTCGCTGGGCATGCGTGTTCGGTGTGGGGGGGGCCTTGCAAAGTGTCCTGGGAAATGTAGTGTGCAAAGAAAGTGGGTCACTAGCTTCGACCTGGGCTGGGGGCGCCTGTGGACTACCGTTCCCAGAGTGCAGAGCGCTCTCGGCTGCCACCCTCCCCGCCTCTGTGTGTGGGTTGTCTTCCTGGCTTCTGGGGAAGCCAGGGTGCCCTAGAAAGAGATCTGTTAGGAGAGAGACTTGTACTCGAAGCCGGTGTGTTTACAGGTTTGGGGCCTGCAGCTGCCCTCACCCCTGCTGCTCCCTAACTCCTGAGCACAGCCCTTGTGGGAGGTTCACCCCGAGTCCCCCTCGCCCAAGTGCTTCCCACCACTCACTTGTAACCCACGTCAGCAGTCAGTACCGCAGATCTGGGTCCGGGGTAATCTATTGTAAGAGAGTATTGGTGAAGTTGGAGAAAAGTTTCATTTGCAGTTTCATTTGCAGCCCTTTCACAGATGGACAGAGGGAAGGCCTTGGTGCTGCCTTCCTGCACAGAGTTTGGGAAAGAGTGTATGCAGTGGCTTACCAAGCCTGGCAGTGGCTTTTGTTGAGTATAGCTCCTCCCAGCCCGGCTCTCTAACCTTACCACACATCCATGAACGTCTATAGCTAAGCTCTGCCCTTAGCGTCCCAGTGAAGAGACTCGTTTGTCCCTGGAGCGTTGAGCATCACGCGGTAGTCTCCCTGAGCCGAAGTTGGACATGGAGTCTGGTGAGCGGGCACAAGTCCTCCCTCTGGCCACCTGGCGTTCCTGGGAGCTGTCTGGCCCAGGTGGTGGCATCGCTGAGGTGCAGGAGGGAACACGCCGCGAGTGGCATCCACAGCAGACAAGACTTGGTGGGGCAGGGCTGATGGCGGCGGTTCAGGGCATTTTGGGGTCGGAGGTTTGCTGCCCAGTGATTGACCAGTATGGGGAATGCCCCCATTTGGAGATGAGTGACCTGTGCAGGGGCTGTTTGCCCGGAAGGGAGGTCATGGTAGTGAGGCGCCCTTGGGTAGGGTGGATTATCCCAGGTGGAGTCTGAGCTGTGGCCAAGGGAGAAGCCGTATGGTCACGTCAGGGAGCTTTGCCTGTTGGAAACCCGGCTCTTTGAACTGCAGGTTGACTTGGGGCACTGGAACCCTGCCTTGAGGGGCTTCAGTCTCCCAAGTTGGACACCCCAAGTGAGGTGCCGTGACCCTTCTGAATGCCACCCTGGCAGGTGACCCAGTCTCCTGCACGAGGCCCTCCCCTTGTTGAACATTTTTTCTTCCATCTTTGTGGGCCTGAGAGGGGCCCTGGATTTGAGGATTCTTGGTCATGGGCAGACATTTGGAGGAAAGTCTGTGTTTGGGGCAGGGTGAGGGGGCAAGCGTGGTTCCTGAGTTTCCAGAGTTCCCTGGCTGTCTGCTCCTTGGGGAAGAGCTGTGCCAACTCCCCTGGGACCTGAGCAGGTGACGAGGGGTTGGCCGCAGCTGTGCACTGCCCCAGGTAGACCCACTGTGCCTTCCCACGTCCAGCCTCTCTGGAAGCCTGTTTTCAGGGTTCAGTCCTGCCAGTGTTCCCAGGAGCCACAGGCCCAGGCCTGAAAATTACAGGGCGTGCTGTGTCTGGTCTGCAAGCCAGGCTCACTGTCTGGAGGCGTGTTGTGCTGGCCCGCCCCGGAGGGGTTCTAGTAGCACTTTGAGGCCCTCGCTCAGGCAGGTCCCAGTGTTGGTGCGGCCCTGCCCAGAGAGACGGCCCCAGGGGCCCTTTCCCCGTGAGTTTTTCCCCAGCAGGAGCTGCCCCTGGGAAACAGGTTAGGATCCCTGACCCCAGGCCCCAAGGCCTCAGCCATCCTCTTCCTGCCCCTGACTTCTGGCTCCCAGGTGGGCTGGGAGAGAATCCCAGAGTAACTGTCAGCTTGTTACTGTTGGGCTGCCCTCTCTCCAGGGATTTCCAGACACTCTGCCACTCTGATGGGCTGCTGGAGACAGGTGGGAGGCACAGTGATGACAGCCTCCAGCTGGAGGCTTCAGGGTGATGGAAAATTTCTTCCTCCATATGTCCTTGTCACCTGACACCATTGACACCCTCACCTTTGCCAGAAGCCTCAGAGATTCCCGCCGGGCATGCCAGAGCCATGCCAGCCTCTTCCCGAGGGCCACCCCATCTCTCAGTGCGACCCATCTTGCTTTTTTCCTGGGGGATCATGCACCTGTTAGCACCCTTGGAGGCTGTGTGGGAAATACCCATGGAGTTCTGAAATGGTTCCTACAGAGCTATCTGAGCCGGAGAACATGCACGTCCTTGGGGCCGGGGGTGGCAGATGGACGTGCCTGGCGTCCAGGCGCCCGCTGGGGTTGGCCGGGCTCCTTCCTGCCCGCTGACCTGCATCTCACTCCATTTAAGGATGTATGCACACAGCTCGGTCTGTGACAGTTTGGGGCCACGATTCCACAGAGACATTGCAGCGGCAGTGAGAGCCTTCCCTCCTTCTCCAGCTAATCCATGGGCTTGGGTTTTGGGGAGTCATTCTTGCAACAACACCTGATGACTCAAGGATAGCAGGAACCACAGCCCCCACCCCATAATTTCTTTAGAATTCAAAGTGAAGTGATAGCTAACATTATCGAGTGCTTTCCCACTGTCAAGTGCATCACGAGGCACTTTACATCCTTGAGCTTTAGGGTGCAGTTGCATGCCTGAGACTTGGAAGAATGTCACTTGTGTGCAGCCCCATGGTGGCACTGCTCCCCCTGCCCCAGGCGGGCCATGTCATCCAGAGTGGGCGCCTTGCCATCTGCCCTTTGTCACGGCCATCTTTCTACAAGCCACCTTACCATGCGCCTGCCCTTTCTCCTTTTCCAGAGCTAGCCAGAGCCCACCTCAGCCCACCTGCTGTCCTGTGTCCCTGCCTGTGGCCTGTGCGAGTGCCCTGAGCTCACTGTCTGCTGCGAGGGGACCATGCAGCTGGAGATCAAGGTGGCCTTGAACTTCATCATCTCCTACCTGTACAACAAGCTGCCGCGTCGCCGGGCTGACCTGTTCGGGGAGGAGCTTGAGCGGCTTTTGAGACGGAAGTATGAAGGCCACTGGTACCCCGACAAACCGCTGAGGGGCTCCGGCTTCCGCTGCGTCCACATTGGGGAGGTGGTGGACCCTGTGGTGGAGCTGGCTGCCAAACGCAGTGGTCTCGCGGTGGAGGACGTGCGGGCCAACGTGCCCGAGGAGCTGAGTGTCTGGATCGACCCTTTCGAGGTGTCCTATCAGATCGGGGAGAAGGGGAGCGTGAAGGTGCTATACCTGGACGACAGTGAGTGCAGTGGTGCCCCAGAACTGGACAAGGAGAGCAAGAGCAGCTTCAACCCCGATGCTCAGGTGTTCGTGCCCATTGGCAGCCAGGACAGCTCCCTGGCCAGCTCGCCGTCGCCGTCCTTCGGCCAGTCACCCAGCCCCACCTTCATTCCCCGCTCTGCCCAACCCATCACCTTCACCACTGCCTCCTTTGCTGCTACCAAATTCGGCTCCACCAAGATGAAGAAGGGGGGTGGGGCCGCGGGGGGTGGGACAGGTGGTGGGGCCAGTGGCCAGCAGCCCCCGCAGCCGCCGCCTCGCCCCGCCCGCTCGCCCACCAGCAGCCTGCTGAAGCAGAAGGGCTTGTCTCTGTCCGTGCATTCACTGAACTTCATCACGGCCGGCCCAGCCCCTCAGTCCCAGCTCTCTCCCAATGCCAAGGAGTTCGTGTACAGTGGTGGCAGCGGCAGCGGTGTGGCAGCTGGCCTCTTCCTGGGCGGGGCCGAGGCCCAGGGCAGCGGTGGGGCCGGCCCCTGCCACAGCAGCAGCTTTGATGTGGCTCAGGTGTTTGGCGGGGGCACCAACAGCCTCTTCCTGGAGAAGACCCCCTTCGTGGAAGGCCTCAGCTACAACCTGAATACCATGCAGTACCCGAGCCAGCCCTTCCAGCCTGTTGTGCTGGCCAACTGATCCCCGACTCCCGCTCAGGGCCCAGGAACCCCAGACCAGGGAGAAGGGCAAGAAAAGGAAAGGCCAAAAAAAAGAGGAAAAGAAAAATATACAAAAAGATTTCTAATCTGCTCCCTCTCACCTCTAGAGGAGACAGAGTCCGGGCGTGGGGCGTGAGGGGTTCCCCTGGGTCCTGGCTTCCCACCCGCCTGCGGTCCTGCCTGCCTCGCTTTATGAGCTTGGTTTGGGGTTTGTATTTTCCTTTTCCATGTAGTGCTCTGGATGCCATCTTTAATTACCGGTCCCTGTGCTAAGCGTGGCCAGGGGAGAACTGCTCCCTCGCCCTCCTCCAGCCCAGTGCATCCAGGCTCACAGGGAGGAGGAGCCGCGGCGGGCCTGACCCCTCTCTGCCCACGGCCCTTCCTCTGTCCCCAGCTGGCCTCTCTCCAAGTCCTCCCACAGGCAGCTCAGACCCCAGCCCTCAGACCCTCGCAGCCGCAGCTGGGGCCAGCTGATCCCTTCTCGGGAGTTAACCTGGGACTGCAGGGAGGTTAGAGCCTCAGCCTCCTTGAATTCTTTCATCTCTGTGGCCCTGCTGCCCCCGCCAGGCTGGGGCCTCCTGGTGCCGAGCGCCCAGCCTCACCCTCAGGCAGCAGCCGCTTCTGGGCCTGCGGCCAAAGATAGAGAGGTGAGGGTGTGTGTGTGTGTGTGTGTGTGTGTGTACTTACTATGGCTTGCTCTCCAGGATTCCAAACAACGAGAAGCCTTCCCTGTTGGTGTGGTTTTGGATCAGAGCAAGTGCTGGTTCCTGAGGGGTTGGGAGGCTTCAGGCCTGGAGGGCAGCCTCAGCCGAGCCTGTACCATCCCCAGGGGCCAGCTGTGGCAGGAGCAGGCTCCCGAGCTGCTGAGGAATCTGCACTTTAGTTTTGACCAAAAGTTAGTTCTGCAGAGCAGAGGGAATGCCCAGGCACAATGCCTGCAGGTGGGCCCTGGACTCCAGTTCTCCTGTGGTGTGACCTCAGGCCCCTGCTCGGCTGGGGGCTGCTCCGCTGAGGCCCCTGCCATGAGAGTAGGCGGCCAGGAGATGGGCATGTGCCCATGTTGGGGATCCCAGACCTTGCATTGCGACGTCTGCTGCCCTTGAGCCCCCACCAGCCTGGGAGTGTCTCACCACCCTGAGCCAGTTCCACTGGACCGTGATGCTACAAGAGCGGTCCCTGGGCACCCCAGCAGTGCTCGCTCGCTGCCTCTACCAGGGGAGGGTGGCTTCGCCAGCCCCAGGGGACCATCTGGGAGCCCCAACCCCAGCACATGGGACACTTAGCACACGCCCTGCTGCATGCTCCTAGGGACACCAGGTGAGCACTGCTCCAAATAGATTGAGCCCAGACAGGCACTGCCAGCCTCCCCTTCCTGCAGTGGCCACCAGCTCTACCTCCCCCAGCAGGGCGATGCCCTGGCTGCCCAGTCCTGCACCATGTGTCACCTGCAACTTCTCAGGAGCCAGCCTGTCTGGGCCTCTGTGTCCCCTGAGGTAAGCTCACACACTGACGGGCACAGGCACATGGCCTCCCGGGAAAGACTGGCTGCTGCCTTATCCCCTTCCTCTCCTCTCCCACCTAGACTGGCACCCACGGGTGCCACCCACCCCCAGGCCTGCTCCGTTCTCGCCACAAGGGGAGGCGGGGAGACCAGCCCGTTTGGGTCCTGGAATCTGAAGATGGCTGCATGTTCAGGAGCCTGACTCTGGTGCTGGGCTGCTAGCCTGGCCCAGTCTGTCTTGTCTCAAATCTAGATATTTTTGCTTCAGTTTTTTTTTTTTTTTTTTTTTAAGAAAACAAAAATCTGCACTAATTTACCTGGTTTCATAGGAAAAGTTTTTTTTTTATTTTTTACATTTTTTGGTGTCTGTTTGTATCGAATGATTTGCTACATTTGTAAACTGTAAGAGGTATATATAATATATGTATATTTCTAATGTAAGAAACGTAATTTTTTCTGTTCAAGATTTTTTCTTAAAAAGAGGAGAGAAACCAATATTTTTTCAGGAAAAAAAAAACTTTAAATAAATAAAAAAAAAGAATAAAATCTTTTTCTCCCCTTTCCCCAACCTCTGTCCGTCCCTCCTTCCCAGGAATAGATAAGGAGGTGGGCTAGCTAAAGAATGCAAACTCACTCCAGACTATTTTTTTTCTCACCACAGGGAGTTAGGGGCTGTCGACTCTCTTGTCTTCTCCCAAGGTGTGGGCTGGGGGACACACAGGCGAGTGGACGGGGCCCAGGGTGGGGGCTGAGGGATGCAGGCGAGTGGACAGGGACCAGAGGTGGGAGGAGTGGGGGGCAGCAGACTTTTTTTCTTTTAGTGAAGGAGGAATACAATCAAGTGTTTTGTATTCAGAATGTTGTGCAATATTTTGGAATGGGACATTTGTGTGTGTAGAGATTTAGTTTAAAAACTAAAGATTGATCAAATCTGTACAGTTTATATTGTTCCAGATTTTTTTAAGTTTGTATTAAAAGCATGATATATAATAGCTCTTATCTGTCTTTGGGCTTATTTTGATTTAGGGGGTCCCTTTTGGGGTGGACAGGAAGAGGATGCCCCAACACTGTAAGCTGCAAGAACTGATGGGGAGATGCTGTGGTGTAGTAGGTTAGGCCGTAACCTGTGGTGCTGGCATCCTGTGTTGGAGTATTTCTCTGTCCTGTTTGCTCTACCTCCAATCTAGCACCCGGCTCACGGTACCTGAGTCCATGCCCTCTTCCTGGGAGACCCAAAGGAAGCTCCTGGCAGCTCCTGGCTTTGGCCTTGCCCACCCTGGCCATTAAAGCCATCTGGGGAAGTGAACCAGCAAACAGTTATTCTCTCTCTCTCTCTCTCTTTTTTTTTTTTTTTTTTTGCAAAGTCATATATAGAGAGGAGGAGAGACAGGAAGATCTTCTGTCCGAAGATTCACTCCCCAAGTGACCACAGCGGCCAATGCTGTGCCAATCTGAAGCCAGGAGCCAGGAACTTCTTCCAGGTTTCCCACGTAGGTGCAGGGTCCCATGGCCTTGGGCCATCCTCAACTGCTTTCCCAGGCCACAAGCAGGGAGCTGGATGGGAAGTGGAGCTGCCAGGATTAGAACTGGCACCCACATGGGATCCCGGCGTGTTCAAGGCAAGGACTTTAACCACTATGCCATCATGCCGGGCCCTGTTCTCTTATTTTTAATGAAATATGAATGCACATGTGGGCCTCTGATCAGAATGGGGAGGGTCGAGGTATGGAGGAAGGTAGGTGGGACCAGTGCTTCAGTTCTTTTTATTCTCCTGGTCTGCTTGGGGGTGGGGGAAGAGGACCGACCGCTCCTTGCTGCCAGTCTGTGTCAGCACCCGGGGATGGAGGACAGTCATTTCATGTCAGAGACCCCCAAGGTGGGGAAGAATGTGCTGGGGGTGTCGCCGAAGTGGTTTTGACAGTTCCAAGTCATCGCCTCATTACACCAGGGTTGAGAAAGTCTTTCCAGGGTCTGTTGGCTGAGCAGGTCCACCTTAATGTGCACCCACAGACCCAGACACTTGCTGCAAAGCTTGGCCAGGAGAGTGGTCCAACCTGTTGTGCCTTCCTTCCCCTTAGGAGGTACTCGAAGTCCTCTGCTGGCCTAGATGCCCTAGCCTTCATGTCCCCCATGTGTATCTGGCATGTTCACTGCACCGGCATCAGCAACTGAGGAGGCCCAGTCCCAATACACATACAGCAATTTAGTTGGGAGTCCACCAAGAAATTTCCCCAGGGGTGACCTCAGACTTGATTTGTGTATGCCAGCTAGTGCAGAATCAGGTTGGTTCTGTTATCTGCACCAGCCAATGCACATACTATTGCATGGGGCTGCCTGGCCAGTTCTGCACCCAGCCCCATCTCATGCAAACAAGTAAACAAAAAGACTCAGTCTTTGCACACCAGCAGGTACCCTAGTCAAGCAAACCCCAATAACCTCCACAAGCCTACCCCGAGTCCTGGTTTTTGAGTGTGCTGGTTTGTGCTGTGGCCTAGCTCAGTCTGTTCTGCATCCCATCTGGCTCTTGCGTATACTTGCGTGTGCTGCAGTTCAGCTCAGCCTGACCTGCCCCCAGACACAGCCCACATGTATGCCAACAAGTACTGTCACCTTGACCAGCTGATCTGCCTCCAGCTCTGACTCTCATGCTCACCAGTGAGAGCTGCAGCCCAGCAGAGAAGTGCCCACCCAACTGCCCCTTCCCACGCAAGATGGACAGATACCTCTCCTGTATGCCCATTGCCTGGGTTCTTGGCCACAATGGACACGGGCTCTTGTGGTTCAGCCAGGCCCAGGACCAGACCCCCAAAGTCAGTGCTTCTTGCCCCTCCTGGAGGGGGAGGGAGGGAGCCAGCTCTCCTCTCTCTAGATCTAACATTTAACCTTAGATGGGGGCAAGAATAAGTGCGTCTGCCCAAAAGCCTGGTGTGTGAGTCTTGGGCTCTCAGTCAAGAGACCTGCCACAAGGCTACAGAACAACCACCGACGTGCCCGGGGCCACCTCCCCACTTGTGCCTCCACAGGCCTCTTCCTGGGGCCAGCACCAGGCAGGGCTGCCCAGGGCCCCTTGGTGGAAATGGTCCAGGATGTAGGTCAGAATGGGAGTAAAGGGGTTTTGTCTGCATTACACACTCGAAAAGTGGGCTCCATGTTAGATTTTCTGTCTAAATTCACAGAACTAGTAATTGGTGAAACTAGTAATTGACTCCAGTTCAAATATGTCCTGTATGGATTCTGGTAAGACACAGCAGGGTCCAGCGGATGGTGTCTGCCTTGTCAGGGCTCACACCTCACTAGGTCTATACAGTGTTTTAACAGCTGTGGAAGACAGCAGGGCAGGGCCTTGCTGATCATCTCCAAGCTGGTGGTGCTAGAATAGCTTCCCAAGAGGCCCGCACTCAGCCCTCCTCTCCCAATTATGTGGACTGAGCCTAACTCCTGCAGGCCAAATATCCCTCTTCCGAGATTCTATTCTATTCTATTCTGAGAGTGCAACTCCATGGCCATTTCTCTCCCTAATCCAGAATGACCATGCCCTGGCTGACAGGTGCAAGGTCACTTCCTGGAGTCCCGTGTCCTTGCCCTGCCATCCCAGCCATAGGCCCTCGGGTGGGGTTGTGTGGCTCTCATCCATCACCCTCCTTCCTACTTGTGTAAACACAGGTCCTGCCAGCAGATGCCACAGTCACCTGCTGCCCTTTCCTGTCACGCTCAGAACTGGGCGAGGCTCGTCCAGGTGCCAGCCTCTCTTTCCCAGCCAGTCCATTTGGCTTGAAGGTGTGGTCACCTCTCCACAGCACAGACACACCAATGATTCAACCACCCATACCTGCCACTGTTCAGCTGGCTCTCAGAGGTGGGGTGGAAGCTGTGGAGGGGCACAGCACTGCCGGGGGCCCCCTGGGCAGTACAGGGGCCAGCCTTTTGATGCAGTGGGTCCCAGCACTCACATCTCCAATATCCCATAGGGGAGTGCAAGCTTGAGTCCCGGCTTCTCCACTTCCCATCCAGCTCCCATGCTGGCGTGTCTGGGAAGGCAACTGGAGATGGCCCAGGTCCATGAGGGCAAGTTCAGTAGAGTCCCAGGCTCTGGACTTTGGCTGGGCCTGGCCTGGCCTGGCCTGGTCCTGGAGGTTGTGACCATTTGAGGATGGAACCAGTAAAGGGGTGGAGGGTTTCATTCTCTCTCTGTCTTTCAGACAACATATTTTATGAAAGCAAGAAATTGCTCAGGTGGGCTCAGAGAGTTCTTGCAGACTTCCCACACGTATTTCCCCCTGCCCCAGGCACACAGGCAGGAAGGTGGCTGGCTTCAGGGCAGGAAGTTTCTTGGAAGAGGTGAAGAAAGAATTCAAAACTCAAAGTGCCAAGAAAGAGAAAAGCGAGGCCAGGACCCTCCGCAGGGTCGCCCACTTGGAGGGAGCTGTCAGGGTCAGGGAATGATTGGACTCCGGCCCCTGAGAAAGGCCTGTTCCCAGGACGGGTGTTTGGGGTACCTAGTGCTGTGTGTCAGTGCCCGAGTTTAAGTTCCGGCTCTACTTCCGACCCTGCAACCTGGGAGACAGTGGAAGGTGGTCCAGCTTCTTTGGATCCTGCCGCCCATGTGGCTGACCCGGCCTGGGCTCCTGGCCCCTGGCTCTGGCCTGGCCCAATTTCAGATGCTGCGGACATGTGGAGAGTGAACCATCACACGGATCGTTGTCATCTTTCTGTTAAGTAAAATGAAGACAAAGAAATAGCAATGAATGAATGGTGCACCTTCCTGGGCTGCCACTCCCAGCCATGTGACCCCAATCAAAGCCGTCATCACTAAGCTGGGGATGGCAATTGTACTTCGAGGGAAAGGCAAAGAAAGGGTGGGAAGCGCTGTGCTGGGCTGCTGGACAGGAACAATCTCTTTAGTCACCCTCGGCCAGTGTCTGTCCCCACCTGTCACTGGTCAGGTCAGTTCAGCAGACTTCTCCGCGGCAGCTGACAAGTGGGAGTGCAAGCCTGCAGGCAGCGTGGAGACCTTTGTCCCACTGTGCCCGTGTGGGACCCTGGCTGTCCCTGTGGACCATGCCGACCAATGGAGCAACTGACTGACAGGCCACACTCCTCTCCTGCGGCCGCTGTGTGTCGAAGGGCAGGCTGCAGTGTGGGCGGAGTCGCAGGAGATTGCTGCCCTCCTCATTGTCACCTGCCTGAATCAGCAGCCCTGGGCCAAGGGGACGCCTCTGTCTGAGCCTCACCACTGCCAGCTGCCCGTGTCCTGCCTGGGCAGAGTCCTACAGAGAGGCAGAAAGACTGCGAGCAACTGGGCAGCCCACCCTTTGGGAATTTCACTGCCAGTGACAAGAAGTAGGTTCTCAGTAAATAAAGATGCCAGTTCAAAATATGACTGACCTTGAACCCCACTTGACATTCCTTTCATTTATAGGATAAGGGAGAGTCGGGCTAGGCTCCTGTCCAACTAGGCCACCCAGGTCCTTCCCTGTGTGGGTACCTCTTCCTGTCTCAGAGGCCCCAACATCCGGTTTGTTGTAACTCTTACTCATTTTCAGCATGGTGCTGACATCGGGTGGGGCACTGTTCTAGGCCCAGAGAAAATCGGGGGGAACATCAACCAAACTCGCCCATCCCCGACTCACCACAAACCAGTGGCAGGAATGCCAGAAGGTAGGTAAAGCTGACTACCACCAGCAAGGGAAACCAGGGACTGGGTCACCCCTGAGATGGGGTGATAGGGCAGGAGAGGCCTTCCCCCCAGTGACCCCTGAACTCTAGGACCCCTGGTCACACACTCAGCAGCAAGAGTGTCGGCAGGCACAGGCAGGGGCAACATGCCTGGCGAGAAAGCACTGGGAGCGGATCTCCACAGCCGCACACACGGCACAGGTGACACTCGCTCAGGGCCACATCATGGCCGGGTGGCTGCTAGCTAGCATCGATACCCACGGCGTCCCTCGCCCTGGCGTGCCTCGCCCGTAGCCTGGGACAGAGGCGGCCAAGA